TCCTACTTTGGACATATTGTCCGGAGGAAAAAGTTGCTGGAGAAGGATGTCATGCTGGGTAAGGTGGAGGGTCAGAGAAAAAAAGGAAGACCCCTAACGAGATGGATTGGCCAGGTATCATTAGGGAAGGTAGTTTTGATGGTAAGATCCTTACTCCCTAGAGCAAAGCTAAGTTCCTCTGTGCATGGAAAAGAGGGTTCTCTTCTATCCCATGTGGGCAGTCTTAGGTTCCAGGAGGAGTGTGCACTGTGGGGAGAGGCTAAAGCCTACAAAATCCCAGTTCTCTCTACCCCTGAAGAGCAGGGCAGCTGACCTTGTTAGTGAACTAGATTCCATGGAGGCCCCAGGACTGAGTAACAGGATGGCCTCAATCCTTTTTTTTCCATTTCATATTTCTTAACATAGAAGTATTTGCAGAATGCAATTTTTAGAAAACTTTTTGTGAATTGAGTGAAGGTTTACAGAGCAGATCATCAGCTTTACATTCAACAGTTCATACATACACTCTGTTTCATTTCAATGATTGCAATTCCCTCCATGTAACAACAGCCTGCTTCCTCCCTGTGTTTCCTACTTTCATTGTACGCACCTTCCCATCCCTTCTCAACTTTGTCCCTAGGTAAATGGTGCCCTTTTGATTTTGAATGATTGACCGTTCCATGGTGAGCGAGCATATCTTACTAGTGTTATTGTTCCCCTATATACCGATCTACTGCTTGGCTGAAAATTGGGCCACAAGGGTGAGTTCCTTTCCAGACCTGAAGGAAGGGGGAGGGCCATCTGTCAGGTTTCTCCAGTCTCTTTCTGACCAATAAACTTGGTCTTTAAAAAATAATTGTATTTTGTTCCACATTTTCTCCCACTCTATCTGGGACCCTCTAAGATGATCCCTTTCAGAGCAGTTGGTAGTAGTAGTCCGGCACTGCCTTGTCCTTCCAGTCTCAGAGTTGTGGAAACTGATGTTCACATGTTCCATTACATTGAACTGATTGATCCCAAGCCTCTTCAATTCTTTTTTTTTTTAATGTTTTATTGTGAATTATGTGATAGTTTACATGGGAGAACATTAGCTTTACATTCATCCTATCCTATCGTATATATCTTTTCATTGCCATGGTTACAATCCCCTCCATGCATTATCAACCAATCAAAGGGTAGGGTCTCACACTCCGCTCTTCTCCCTTGATGGTCCCAGGGACCTCTGCTCCTAGACTGCAAAGTTAATCACTCCCCTTCTTGCTACAAAACATCTACCATTACATTTCCAACTCTCACAATCAGTCCTGATAACAATTCTTCACTATTGTATCACAAAAGACCTATCCACATTTCCTTTCATCAACCCCGCCTAGAAAGATCAGATACTAAGTGGAGATTCTACCTTCCTCCACACCCTCTGGATCTAGGTTCCCTCTTGAAAGCTTGTCAGCCAGTCACTTCTTGCCTTGTTGTTGTCAGGTGCCATCGAGTCGGAATTGACTCATAGTGACCCCCTGCACAGCAGAATGAAACAATGTCTGATCCTGGGCCAACCTCACTACCGCCGCCACACTTGATGCCATCAATGATGCTGATCCATCTCGTTGGGGGTCTTCCTCTTTTTCTCTGACCCTCCACCTTACCCAGCATGACATTCTTCTCCAGCGACTGTTCTCTCCGGACAATGTGTCCAAAGTATGAGAGAC